CCAAGCGACAGATACAATGGCGCTGCGCTAGAGTGAAGTGGAAGCAATGCATAGAAAAATGAGCAAATACACAAACCCTTCTTCTGAGGATGTAATCTTTGCAATCAAATTCGTTCGAAGCATTTACCTTTGAGCGGCAGATGAGGCAATTGTACCTGTCTCATAGCGTTCGTATGAGAAAATCGAAGAGTTGCCAGTCTTCTTGATTTGTTGTCTTCGCTCAAACCTAATGATGGAGCTACTGAAACAAATTCATGTATTTTTTGGCAATTGTTTTATCCCACAACATGCATGGCGTTTTTGTGTACTATACTGAGGAGCAAATCAACAAAAAATGTGTGACGAATTAGTATCAGTTCCTATTGTAGTCGATGTCAAATTTAGTGTACATGGATCACAGCTAAATAACTCAACATTGACAACTCAAGGTAGTTATGTAGCGGAAATTGTGTCAATTCTTAACCATTACATTAAGTTTAAATGCATTATCTCATGCGTAAGATGAACCGTGGTCTGATTATGCTAACATGAACTGTCGCGAGTTTTGAACCATAACCGAAACATTGAAATACTTTAAAAATTTAAGATAAAGTATAATAATCAAAAATGCATGACATACATCAATTTTGCGTAGTTCTACGTTATACTGCGGTAGTGTCTAGGACACAACACCTTTATTTTTTTTCTTTCTCCCGTCGTCTCTCTTTCAAGCTTCGGTGAAGCGAACGAGAGAAAGAGCGCTTGACTTTGATAGTTTCGTCTTTCATAAAACACATCAATCGAGGTTTCATGACGTATATGACTAAAAGATTACACGTAATATGTTTTATTTATGTATCTGTAGATTTGAAGAAATACTTCAAATCTCCTCATCCATGTATGAGCTAGGTAAAGAAGTCTGCGTTTGACTAGTACTGTACTGTCGCATCAATGGTCCATCACTGATTTTCAACTTCTATTTAATTTTCATGATGCCGTACTCTAGTGGTTCTATCAACCTACCCTCTTCAGGCCTTTCTCTAGCTAATAAGCTATCGCACTAAAGCTTTACGTTAGGTAGCATTTTCAACCAATATCCAATTAATTACTTTAAAAAAATGATAATTAGTCCGTTTTTTCAAACGCATAAATTTGTATGGGGATATAATACACTTTACTTTGATTGAATATACGTGCCTTCAGGAAAATAATAAATTGATGCCATAAATTTTCAGCTCAAAAATGGGTCGAAATAAAATATTGATCTTGAAAAAAAAAATGATTTTATGTAAACATGGTGCTTCGTTTTGAACATATCAAATATTAGCATTTTTCAAAAGATATATAGACAAATAATTCGTGGTTCATAAGCGGTAGAACGGTTTTCCTCGTAATAGTCAATCAACAAAAAGACACACTTCATCATTGCAAAAGCAAGCCAGCACTTCATAAAGCAAACAACTCGGTACAACCACAATGTTCTTACGTTGAATACAACCGGTCGCAATAAAATTAAGCCTCTTGCTTGAATTACTGTTTAATCGTTCTGCTTACCTGTTCCCAATGGAAAAGCATTCTCATTCCGTCGAAATCGAGCTAAATGCAACAATGAAGTCCAACACCAGCCATCTTCATCATCATCATCATCATCATCATCATCATCATCTTCATCATCATCATCATCTTCATCATCTACATTTTCTCCATCAACTAAGAACCTGTCGAGTTCCTTTAGTCACAGGAAGTTCAGATCCTAAGCAAACTCACACATAGTCTCACACCCGTTCACAGCACAAAGGATAAACACCTTGACCTACCTTCCCCGGTTGCTTGAGAGCAGATCCCAGCGCAGCCTACCGGACGACGACGACGACGACGACGACGACGAACGGAAAGGCAGCTCCGGATGAAGTCCTTATAATCCGCCTTCGTAACGCCCCATTATTGAACGAATGGTCGACTCCCTTCTTCTGCTCCTTCCTCCCCCTAGCCACTCCAACCGAACGGAATCAAGACAAAGTGTTGTTTTCCTCGTTGGTCGTGTTTGCTGGAAGTGACCAGGAAGAAGAAAATGAAGAGGAAAAATGGCATCAGAAAATCACTGCTAAGGAAGTGCTTCGTAGAACTGATGTAGTACCGCTACGGGCCTGTATGCAGTAGGTAGGGTAGAATGAAAAATACATTGCACTATTCAAGCCATCTTCCGGTTTCTGGGTTGGGAGGACTCGGTGCCGAGTCAAACCTCGAACTACAACAACGTGCTCTGGTGGGAGGCTGAGGTTTGGGGACACTGTGGAAAATCCGCATCAGAAGCAGGGCTTGTAACTCAAATTGAGAAAGCTCGAAATTACCACCGTGCGTTATTGTGAGGCATGAACACAGCCTCAACAGATGAAAATAAATGCTCATTCTTGGTTAATTATCCACTTCCGGTCGGGAGAAGCCGAAACGAGGCAGTCATTACAGCGTTCATCATTCTTCAGGAGAGATTTATTCTGACTCAATCTTAAAGCCGTAAACGTTTTGTCCGAGGTCTCTTCATTTGATAATTTTCCGCAGCATTTCATCGTAAAGGAAATGTACGTTAATTGAATGAAATTATGGAACTTAAACTGATAACTGATGCCAACTGCTTTCCCGTTTACCATCATCATCATCGTTCCGTACCGTACTCTTCAACCAAGGTTAATTGAATTTGCGATAGTGCTTTATTCCGACGATGTACCAGGTTGCAAGCTTGATCTTTCAACGTTGCAACAGTGGGGCCGGGCCGGAGTAGACTTTGGATTTTCATACTTTCTTTATATTTTTGCTTTAGTAATATAAAATGAAAAATAAAACTTTCAGATTTTTGAAAGCTGTCATTTTTTTATCTAGTTCGTTTATTTGGAAGACTTAATCGCGTTAGCTGTACGGATAACTCATTGTTCTTTGTTTGTTACAAAATTCACTTAATTCTATGTCTACTAGGAGTTGAGCTGAAAGCTGTCATTTTTCCATGGTTTTTTTTTCGTCGATCTCGTTATCCGTGCTAAGCACCAATGCTACCGACGCCAGGGAGGCAGCTCACACACTTGGACCCAACCTATCGACCCATCAACTCATGAACCGGGGACCAACGGCTTTACTTCCCTTCCGAAGGAAGGCGTGATCAGAGATGTTATGCCTCAGAACATCCCGGCGGCGCTGACTGGGATTGAACCTAGGCCTGCTGCTTACCACTACACCACCGGCGCCAATTGAAAGCTGTCATTGTCTTATGAAATTATCAAAACATGTCATGGAAGGATCAAGACTAATCTTGATTTAATTTTTATATCAATATAAAAATAATATATGGTGGAAAATAATTTGTCAGACTTCTATTTTGATTTCAGTCAGGCAGACTATGGAGCTATCAAAAATAAATTGAACAGTAGAGATTGGTAACGGATTACAACGTATTCATGATGCAGAACATGCAGTTGATGTATTCTATCAGATTGTTTATTCTATTCTAGAACAGACAGTTCCCATGAAGCAAAAGAAAAAAAAAAAACCAATGCAAAAGCACTGATATGGTACAATAGACAGATAATAAATCTTAGAAATAGAAAGCAAAAAGCTCATAAAGCGTACAAGAGAAACAAAAGTAATGAAAATTTTGCCTATTATCTTACCATTTGTGACCAACTTAATTAAGAAATTGAAAATGCATATGAGGAGCACAATAGAACGATTGAAACTAACATTCAAGCAGACCCAAAATCCTTTTTAACTATGTTAAAGAAAGGCAAAAATCCAATGCAATTAGGCAGTAGGTTGGGCAATACGTCTAGTCAGATTAGTAACTTATTTGGTGTCTTCTTTCAAGACGTTTATACAATTCAAGATGAGAATGAACGAGATGATCAATATTTTTGGTATCTCCCCGAGCCTTTGAAGAACATTGCAGTTGATAATTTAACTCTCAAGGAAATTGTACGCGATGAACGCTTCCAATAGGAAAACGAACGACGTCATCGAATGGCGCATCCTGATTGGCTGACGCAGCCGATGAAAGAGTATAAAAGTAAACAACATTGTATTTCATGTTTCATTCTGTATCCTGCATTTAACCATTGAAGAGGAAGCAGCGAATAAATAGAGGTAGAATTGAGAACAGTGTCTCATTCTTTTCGTCCGAGAACGGAGATTTCCCGAGCATTCGTGCTTCGTCCAGTTCCTGTTCGTTCATCCACTGGTTGCATGTGGTGATCGATTCATCTTCCATAAGTTCCACCTAGTGGACACTTTTAAAAGAGTTGAACTTTCCTGTTTCCCTGCTCATCAGAGCCTTGTGTTCGGCAGTTTTGCCGTGGTCCTTCGAGAGAGAGAGAGAGATTACTGCGCTGGTGGCTGTAGTTTACAGCTGTTGGCAGCTCAACGACTGGTGCTGAAGAGTTTTCAGCGACCCATCGTTCCTACGCTGTCCGCTGTGGTGTGCGCAGCCAACGGTGCATCGTCCCTTCGCTGGTAGCTGTGGTGTGCACAGCTGTCAGTGGCTCATCGTCCCACTACTGGTGGCTGTGAGGTGTACAGCTGTCGGTGGCTTGATCACAAGTTGTGTCGTGGTCCTTCGTTCGAGAGAGGCAGCCCGTCGCTGGTGGCTGTAGCGTGTACAGCCAACGGTGACTCTTCGATCCATATGCTGGTGGCTGTGAAGTGTATAGCTGTCGGTGGCTCGATCACAAGGTAGGTTTTCGTCTGTGCTGTTGTGGTAAGGGCAATGAATCTACCCCAAGAGAAATTGAGTACACAACATTTGGTCCTCACGAGCCGGATATCAACCGGTGTGATACGTCCATCCGCGAATATTCGTGACCCTTCCTTCCAACGAGTTTGTGCCCGAATGAGTAAAAAGTGTTTGAAACCTACGATCGTAGTACAGTAGTACCCTTAAAAACTGTGAGTGTTGAGAGTGAACTGTAGTGAAAAGTGTAATCATGACGAAATTGAAGCAATTAATTCATCAACGAGGACAAGTAAAGGCGCGAGTGACAATGATCGTCCAGAAGCTAAACGAAGCTATGGATGAACCTGAAACAGCGAGCCTTTCCCAGTTGAAGGCTTATGAGAAGAAATTGGAACTACATTATTCGGAGTATGCGGTGAAGCATGACTTAATCGTGACTCAGTGTACTAGTGAAAACATGGAGGATCAGGACAATAAGTTGGACGAGTTCGACGAGCTGCACACGGAGGCGTTAGTGAAGCTGAATCAACTGTTGGAGCTACTTCGTGCTGATCCACAACCTAATAATGGAGTTCCCCAAGTGATTGTGACTCAGCAACCTCTGAAGACGCCGATCCCAACCTTCGATGGGAAGTACGAAGGTTGGCCAAAATTCAAAGCTCTCTTCAATGACTTGATCCGAAAGTGTGGCGACTCCGATGCAACTAAACTGCAATACCTGGACAAGGCGCTGATCGGTGAAGCTTCCGGTATCCTTAATGCCAGAATTATCAACGACAACAACTATCAGCAAGCATGGGAGTTGTTAGAGGAGCGCTTTGAAAATCCGAGAGTGATTATTGACACCCATATTTCCGGTTTATTGTCGATGAAACCGATAGCCAAACAAAGCTTCAAGGAGCTAAGGAACCTTATCGATACATGCAATCGCCACGTGGAAGGATTGCGGTTCATGGAGCAGGAGGTTGTTGGAACAGCCGGTCTAATCGTGGTGAAGCTACTTACAATGTGCCTTGATGGAGAAACGCGGAAGCAGTGGGAGCTCACCATGGAGCACGGAGAACTTCCTGACCTCGAAGAATCCATGAAGTTCCTAAGAAGTTATTGCCAGGTACTTGAGAGATGTGAAGTAGACAAGGCGTCCTCAGCTAAGGCAGCTGTTAAGCCTCCTATGATGGGGAAAACCAGCTCATCGCAAAGAACCTCCAATCCAGCAACATCCAGTTCACCGGAGAATGTGTGTGAAATATGCGCGGGTCAACATTGCAATTACAAGTGTCCTTCTTTCTTGAGCATGAGTGTTGATCAGCGTGTTACCAAGGTGAAGCAAATCGGACTATGTTTCAACTGCCTTAGGAAAGGCCATCAAATCAGGGCTTGTCCATCAGATAAGTCATGCTCGAGGTGTTCCAAAAAGCATCATACCATGTTGCACTTCGAGCAGGTGTCCCAAGCTGATCCGAAGCAGAAAACTCCAGGTGGAACATCCAAGCCGCAGGAGATGCAGACAGCAGCAGCTGTTCCTGAGGATCCTGTGTCTACAGCCTGTTCCAGTATGCAACAACGAGCGAAACAAGTGTTTTTGATGACCGCATTGGTGAATGTTACGTCAAAGAGCGGAAGGAACTTCAAGTTGCGTGCTCTCTTCGATTCCGGGTCTCAGATCAACCTGGTTTCTGAATCTGCTGTAAAACTGCTAGCGCTTCCGAAGTATCCTGCCAACGTGCCAGTCGTAGGAGTGGGTGGCGCCAGATCTCAAATTCGTCATCGTGTGATCCTGAAGTGTTTCTCCGACTACACCGATTTCCAAAGTGACATGGACTGTTTGGTGACAGCTAGAGTGACAGGAAAGATTCCATCTGTTCCAGTTGACATCTCGGAGTGGAAGTTCCCGAGTGGTATTGTGTTGGCCGATCCAAGCTTCAACGAACCGAGAGAAGTGGACCTACTGATCGGTGCCGAGCTGTTTTTTAAAATCCTGAAACAAGCTCAGCTGAAACTCTCTGATAATCTACCCGTACTGTTCGAGACTCAGTTCGGATGGGTTATTGCCGGTGCTTTAGAAGAGTCCGAGGAGGAAGTCGTCAACGTGCTGTGCGCCACAAATGAGGATCTGTTGCTGAAGAGCATTCAGAGGTTTTTCGAGCAAGAAGAACTTCCAGAAGAAAAAGTCCTGACGAATGAAGAGCAAGCAATAGAAGATCACTTCTGCAAAACTTATCGACGAGATGAGGATGGCCGATTCGTGGTTCAACTACCGTTCCGTGAGTCCATCAATGAACTAGGAAACTCCCGATCATTAGCGTTGAAGAGGTTCCTGTCAATTGAGAAACATCTAACCAATAAACCCGAGATGAAAGAGATGTACCAAGAGTTTATGCAGGAGTACAAGGACCTTGGTCATTGCCACGAGATCCGTGAGGAAGACGATCCGCCTGGCCAACAGAGCTACTATTTGCCACATCATGCTGTACTTAAACCTACAAGTACCAGCACAAAGTTACGTGAGAAAATGTTTAGGCAAGTGAAACTTGATCCAAGACAGACACATTACCACAGAACTTTCTGGCGTGACCAACCGATGGACCCGATAAAAGTGATGGAGTTGTTAACGGTGACCTACGGGACGTCTCCTGCATCGTTTTTGGCAGTGAGGTCCATGGTTCAACTAGCGAGAGAGGAAAGAGCCAACTTTCCTGCAGCTGCAGAGGCGATATTAGAGGACTGCTACATGGACGATATATTGAGTGGTGCCCCAACACTTGCATCCGCGAAGCAACTGCGAAGTGATATCGAGGAGCTTATGATGAAAGGAAAATTTCCTATCCGAAAATGGTGTACCAACGACGACGAAATTCTTGAAGGTGTTCCGGATCAAGACCGTGAGAAGCTAGTTCGAATAGGAGATTCTGGTACCAACGAGGCGATTCGAGCTTTAGGTGTTCTGTGGGACCCAAGATGTGATCAGTTCCTGTTTTGGAGAAGCCCGGAAGTGATGCAACCGGATGTTAAGGTGACTAAAAGGTATGTTCTCTCACAAATCGCCAAACTGTTTGATCCCCTTGGCCTCATATCACCTGTGATCGTTTTGGCTAAGTCCATCATGCAGCAATTGTGGGCTGATGGTCTGGGATGGGACGAGACCCTAGAGGGCGAGTTGTTGAGTAGATGTGTGACCTTACATCAGTCATTGGTACAACTGAACGAGATACGAATACCGAGATGTGTTATGGCTCCTGGAGCTCAACGTATTGAGATTCACGGCTTCTCTGATGCGTCGTGTACTGCTTATGGTGCATGCGTTTATTTGCGTTGTGTTCAGGAGGACGGGGCAGTGTCAGTTAGGCTGCTTTGCAGTAAGTCAAGGATTGCCCCTCTGCGTCGTCTCACAATACCTAGATTAGAGCTGTGTGCCGCTGTGGTATTGGCCAAACTGGTTAGTGTAGTGATCCCTATTCTGAAAACCGAATTCCACGATATCAAGCTGTGGTCTGATAGCCAAATTGTGCTGGCATGGATAAAGAAGAATCCGGATCAACTTCAAGTCTACGTCAGAAACCGAGTTTTGGATATTAACAAACTGACTAGTACCTACGAGTGGAAGTACGTCAGATCCGAGAATAATCCTGCGGATTTGGTGTCCAGAGGGTGTTACCCTGGTGTGTTGCATCGTTCGGATATGTGGTGGAATGGTCCACTATTTCTGCAAGATGTTAACTACGATATCCAGGAGACTCCGGTGATTCAAGATGAAGAGTTACCAGAAATGCGACAAGCTCAAGTGTGTAACCCAGCGGTCGATGTTGAAGACGATCCGGTATTCGAGCGGTGCGGATCGTTTTCCAAGCTGCAACGTGTATTGGCGCAGGTGGTGAGATTCACTCGACTGATACGAATGAAAAAGGAGAATCGTAAACATGCAAGATACATTTCTGTGCAAGACATGCGGAAGGCATTGGATTACATAGTAAGGATTTTGCAGAGGACCGGATTGAACGAGGAGATCCAGTGTGTTCAGCGTAAGGAGTTGCCGAAGCGATTGGCGAATCTTCAACCATTCCTGGACGAAGAAGGCTTCCTTCGCGTCGGCGGGCGTCTACAAAACTCTAAATAACCGTATGACGCCAAGCACCAATTACTTCTTCCACGCAATCACCGAGTGACGGAAATGTTGATTCGTCAATATCACGAGGAGAGACTGCATGAAGGGCCATCCGGTTTGCTGGCAGCAATAAGGCAGAAGTACTGGTTGGTAAATGCTCGATCCGCCATCCGGAAAGTGACTCGAAGCTGCGTAAAGTGTTTCAGGACTAAGCCGAGAGGAATTCAGCCCTTGATGGGAAATTTGCCGGAGGAGCGTGTGAATGTAGCAGCAGCGTTCGAACTCACTGGTGTGGATTACGCCGGCCCAGTGCTTGTGAAAGAAGGAAGGTATAAGCCGAAACACGTAAAGGCATACATTGCACTGTTTGTCTGCCTAACAACGAAATCGATTCACCTCGAATTGGTTTCGGATTTGACAACCGAAGCTTTTCTCGCCGCTTTAGATCGTTTTATCAACCGTCGTGGAATGGTTCGTAAAATTATGTCAGATAACGCGACCAATTTTATTGGTGCTTCGAAAGAACTCCACAAATTGTACTTGATGTTCCGTGACGAGACCGCAAGAACGAAGATCAACGATTTTCTGCTCAAACGAGAGATTGAGTGGGAATTCATTCCGCCTAGATCACCCAACTTTGGGGGTTTGTGGGAGGCAGGAGTAAAGGTTGTCAAGTCCCACATATATCGGACTTTGGGCAACGCAATTTTGACGTTTGAGGAGTTCGGAACAGTATTGACCCACATCGAAGCCATAGTGAATTCCCGACCCTTGTATGCACTGTCTGAGGACCCGAACGAGCCGCTTCCGATAACACCTGCTCATTTGATGATTGGAAGGCCATTGGAACCGATTTTGAAGCCGTCGTACTCCGATGTAGCAGTGAACCGTCTGTCTCGCTATCAGTATATGAACAATTTGCGTGATCGGTTTTGGGCAAAGTGGTCGCATGATTATCTATCAACGCTTCAATCGAGGGCAAAGTGGACAAAAAGTGAACCGAATGTGAAAATGGGTACTATTGTGCTACTGATGGAAGACAATCTACCAGTTCAGTCATGGAGGTTGGGTCAAATTGTTGCACTTTACCCGGGAAGGGATGACGTGATCAGAGTCGCCGACGTGAAGACTGCAACGGGAGTATTCCGGCGCTCCATTCGGAAGTTGGCGCCTCTTCCTATTACCGACAACGACCAATCGAAGATTTCCGCTTTTGGAATGGTATTCCAACCGGCGGGAGTATGTACGCGATGAACGCTTCCAATAGGAAAACGAACGACGTCATCGAATGGCGCATCCTGATTGGCTGACGCAGCCGATGAAAGAGTATAAAAGTAAACAACATTGTATTTCATGTTTCATTCTGTATCCTGCATTTAACCATTGAAGAGGAAGCAGCGAATAAATAGAGGTAGAATTGAGAACAGTGTCTCATTCTTTTCGTCCGAGAACGGAGATTTCCCGAGCATTCGTGCTTCGTCCAGTTCCTGTTCGTTCATCCACTGGTTGCATGTGGTGATCGATTCATCTTCCATAAGTTCCACCTAGTGGACACTTTTAAAAGAGTTGAACTTTCCTGTTTCCCTGCTCATCAGAGCCTTGTGTTCGGCAGTTTTGCCGTGGTCCTTCGAGAGAGAGAGAGAGATTACTGCGCTGGTGGCTGTAGTTTACAGCTGTTGGCAGCTCAACGACTGGTGCTGAAGAGTTTTCAGCGACCCATCGTTCCTACGCTGTCCGCTGTGGTGTGCGCAGCCAACGGTGCATCGTCCCTTCGCTGGTAGCTGTGGTGTGCACAGCTGTCAGTGGCTCATCGTCCCACTACTGGTGGCTGTGAGGTGTACAGCTGTCGGTGGCTTGATCACAAGTTGTGTCGTGGTCCTTCGTTCGAGAGAGGCAGCCCGTCGCTGGTGGCTGTAGCGTGTACAGCCAACGGTGACTCTTCGATCCATATGCTGGTGGCTGTGAAGTGTATAGCTGTCGGTGGCTCGATCACAAGGTAGGTTTTCGTCTGTGCTGTTGTGGTAAGGGCAATGAATCTACCCCAAGAGAAATTGAGTACACAACAGAAATTATACGTGGATGCTTCAAAAGGTGGTGAACCAGATGGTTTACCAACTATTTTGTTAAAGTCACTTTCGAAGGAGCTAGCATAACCTTTATTCTGGCTGTTTAATTTCTCCTTAGATTCGAGTGGACTTCCTCCGATTTGGAAAGAATATTTTTTAATTCCAATTTTAAAAGTGGTACAATATCTGATATAAAAAATTACCGTGGACTTGCTATATTATCAAGCATTCCTAAATTATTCAAATCCATCATTAATGATAATGTATTCTTACAGATAAGGACGGTAGTTACGAGCAAACAGCACGGATTTGTTAAAAGACGATCTACAGCTACCATCTTGATACATATTGTGTCATATTGTTAAACTCAACGGATAAAGGAAATTATGTAGAAACTTTATATTTTAGTAAAGCATTTGACAGAGTTGATATAAGGCTTGTACTCGAAAAAAATGCACCATTTTTATTCGTGTGTAACTTTTCTATCCGTGGGTAAAAATTGATGAAAATCTGGGTATAACTAGTTTGAAGTGAATTGTTCATATGTGCAAAATTTTATAACAATCGGTTCAGTGGTTATTGAGATGTCATCGAAACAAGAAGAAAATCGCCGGAGAATTTTGCGCGCCGTCATGGAAAATCCGACTGCGACCATGAGATGGATCGGAAGACAACTGGGAATCACCCATACAACTGTGTCTCGGGTGGTAAAATCGTTTAAGGAGTCCCAGACGACCGAGCGGCGGGCTGGAAGTGGAAGAAAATTGAAGACAACTGACCCTGTGAAGGCCCAGAAGGTGTTGGATTATTTCATTTATTCTGAACCTTTCGATTCGCGACGCGGCTCTGAAGGCAAAGTGTTCCGCCTGGTTCATTCAGCAAAGCATGAAACGAGCTGGGCTTCGTGTATTTAAGGTCCGGAAGGCACCGAACCGGCGTGATCAACAAAACACGGTGGTCAAATCCCGCGCAAGGAAGCTGTATCGAGAGTGGTTAACGAAACCGATGTGTGTGGTTATGGATGACGAAACCTACATCAAGGCAGACGCAAAGCAGATACCGGTGCTGGAGTTCTACGTTGCCAAATCACGGTTTGATGTTCCAGAAGACGTAAGGAAGAAGAAAGTGGACAAATTTGCCAAAAAATACTTGCTCTGGTAGGCCATATGCCAATGCGGTAAACTGAGTAAACCGTACATCACAATGGATACCATCAACAGCAAAATTTACCGCACCGAGTGCCTCCAGAAGCGGCTGTTGCCCTTCCTGCGGTCCCACGGAGGCGAGACATTATTTTGGCTGGACCTGGCATCATGCCATTACGCGCGATAGACGTTGGATTGGTACAGAGACAATAACGTTGTTTTTGTACCAAAAACCGCCAACCCCCCAAATTCACGGTGGAAAGATTTTGGGCCATAATGAAGGCCAAAGTCAAAAATCGTCCAAGGTGCTTAAGAACGAGTCGGAGTTGAAGAAAGAATGGATGAAAGTGACCAAAAAGGTCGGCTCCACCATTGCACAAAATGTAATGAGGGGTCTTAAGGGAAAGGTGCGGGCTTTCAGCGATGGGAAGGAAATTGAATAAAGTAATTATACCGAAACATAATCCATATGTATTAGTTCATTCCCTGAAAGTTTCAAGAAAATCCGACTTAAAATAAATTTTTGGCGAACACTTTTGTCTGGTGCATTTTTTTCGAGTACAGGCCTTACCTCTCTTGTTTTTAAAATATCCAAATTAGGTTTCAATCCTAGGCTACTGAAATGGATCGAGTCGTACTTATCACGGCGGACGCAAAAGGTAAGATTTGAAGGAAATCTGTCCACCATAGTTTCTTGGCGATATCTAAAGCACCTGATTTTCAAGTATTTCAACATGAAATTGCCGATTTTTACACATGGTGTAAGTCAAATTTGTAAGAACTAAATGTCAATAAATGCAATTCTAAAACGTTCACAAGAAAGCACGTTTTAATACACGACACAATTATTCTTGGCCAGCAAACAATCCAAAGATCCTATCAAGTCAAAGATCCAAGTTAACCTTTGCTGATGACTACAATAACATTATCTACAAAGCAAGCAACATGCTCGGGTTCATTAAAAGATTTAGTTTGCTCTTCAATGATACCTACACAATCAAAACACTTTACGTAACATATGTGAGGCCGCTTCTCGAATGTTGTGGCATAATTTGGGCACCATATCATGATACACATGTAAACCACATTGAATCAGTTCTAAAGCAGTTCTTGTTGTTTGCTCTAAGAAAGTTGGGTTGGACGAGTTTTCCACTTCCATCGAGTTTTTCCATCTTATGAATCCCAATTAGCAATGCAAGATTTATAGAGGTTTTATAGCATTCTACAAGCCTAAATCATGGTCTACAGAACCCTCTTAAAACCAAAATAGTTACTTGGGAATCGCCTTGTTTGCTAATTAATTTAGATGAGCTCAACAAGCGAAGAGAGTTCGCAATGAATGCATTTATAAACGATGTGATTTCGCAAAGAGTTAACAGCCCAGAGATTTTGGAAAATATTAACTGCGGAAATGAAATTTGTTTAGCATCAACAATCAATGAACAGACTATGCCAAAAATAGTCAATGGGCTGATGTCTTGCTAATATAAATACTGTGAATCTATTGACATACCAATGAATAAAAGAACGCTAAAAAAAACTAGCTAGGCATCAATAATAAAATATAAATGTTATGCAAGTTCTTGAAGTAAAATTGTAACAATTAGCGTTTGAGTAAAATTGACGACTACACTGATTGATGACAAATAAAAAAATAATAATACATGTGTATGTTTTCTAAGGAAAAATTTTCTCAGAAACCCATTGAACAGCTCAGATTTTGTCTTAAAAGAGGCCTCAAAAGTAAAAGTCGAAATAATATTTTTGATATTATTGCTACTTGTCTAATATATTTTCAGAG